TTGATTTCATGATAGCAGCCATTCTTTCTGGAGTGAGGTGGAATCTCAGCTTTGTTTTCATTTGCATTTCTAATTGAAAATTATGCTCGACAAATTATAAAACTAAAACACAAATCTGAAAAATAGATAAATTATGTACAGTAGAGAAGTAATTTTACCAGGTCAACATTTATTATAAATTCAATTATTTCCAAAGTGATACTTATGATATTCAAAAATCCTCAATAATAGTTTTCTGTACCTTGTGTGCACCATGAATAAAATGCATCCCCATATCATCTATTCTTCAATAACATTGAACTTCATTTTATGTACTCAACAAGGAGAGAAAAAGAGCTAGGCAGGTGGGCTGGGAGTCATGTGGCTGTGTGAAGCCCCCCACCATCTGGCTTGCAATGCCCACCTGTGCCCAGCAAGATGGTGAGGACCCCTCAGCAAACCCACTGGCAAGCAGCTAGGCAGTGGGTGCCTGCAACCTCTGGGCCCCAGGACCCCCCCATACCACCTGTGTCCTGGCTGTGCTGCCACTTGGTTCCACACTACAGAGGCACAGGAGGGCATAAAGGCCATTGTCCTGAGCTGCAGAAGTGAACAACAGATAGAGGCCTTCTCTTAGTCTACTTGATGACACCTGAAGCCCATTGGAAAAGTGAAGAGAGAATCTCTGCAATAAAGGCACACCAGACCACAGTACTTGGTAAGTTTGAGGGATCATTACCTCCCATCAGAACCTGGAGTATCTTCAAGGGAAGGGCAGCTGGCACCTGCAGTAGAGCCTTGCCGTGTTCAAACCTGCAGGAGGACAGGGAGCTCAACTTGGGACTTGCAGCCAGAAATATGCCAGAATTTCACAGGTCTGCAACTGGCATGCTAAGTCTCATTGACATATCTGCACACTGCTGCCCAGGTTGTCTATTGTAACAGAAGAGACATACCCCTAAGAAGGCCCTTCATTTTTATCTTTTATTTATTTTCAAAATTATTACTTGTATTTTTTTGCTCTTATTTTTAATTTTAATTTTTTCTACTATTTTCAAATTTTTATTTTTCTCTTTTTTTCTTTCCTCCCTCTCTCTCTCTCTCTCCCCCCCCCTCCCCCTTGCTGTCCCACATTATTCTTCATCTCCCTTTGTGTTCCTGTTCCGGCCCTAATTCATAATTCTTTATTTTTCTTTCTCTGCCTGTGACCTCTGGCCTCACTGCTAACATTCCCCTATCCTTCTACCTAACTATCCCTCCCTTCTCAACTCCTTCTAACTCCCCATGGCAAATGGTAAAGTTGCTATATTGAAGACATTATACACTATAAACATATGTTTGGTTGGTCTTCGATTTTGATTTAATTCACACAGTTAAAGATGATAGATTAATAACTGCCAGAAATTGTCATTTACTAAGATGTACTTGATGCTATGGTGTTGCTGATTGTATCACTTGGGCTAAGGTGTTGTGATTGATCAATCAGTTGTCCTTCCTGGTATAATGAAAATGAGATAGCCTCAGAGCCATTAGAGACTCAAAACCTAAAGACCAGCTATACCTGGAAGACACCTCTGAGAAGCAATCATCCCATAAGCGTTCTAAATACATCAAAAAAATTCCTTACAATCAGCAACTTCAAAGTATCAACCCAGGAAATAACCAAGGACAGTACCAAAAACAAAAATGAGAAGATATTTAAGCAAGGCAAAAACTCAGACTTCCACTCCACAAAAGACAAATTCTGGGGGAAATGAGGTAGAAAAGTCTGATAATCAAACCCGTGGACACCCTGAACTGATAGCACAGGAAGTAACAAAACAGATGAATTGGGCTGTAGAAAAATGCAAAACAGAAATAATCTCCCAGATAAATACAGAGATGGTGAGTAGAATGAAAGACATGTTTAAAGACTCTAGAGCACATACAGATAAAAAAGTGGATTAGCTCAGAAATATGCTGAAATCCATGAATGTGCAGCATATGAAAAAATGGAAACCATGATCACCCAACATAAGAAAGAAATAGAATCCATGAAACAGAGTCAAACAGATATTCAGGAAATTCAAAACTCCATTGAAAGCATGCATAGTAGATTAAGGGAACCTGAAGATAGAATATCAGATATAGAAGGCAGGATTGCTGCTAAGGACCATGAAAACAGAGATTTCTTAAAAATAGTAAGGGACCATGAGAAATCAATCCAGCAGCTGCTAGATGATTCAAAGAAGAATAACATAAGACTGATAGGAGTCCACAAAAA